AAAAAAAAAAAAAGACCATAGGAAAGAAACTCCAAAGAATGCAATGAACCCTAGAACTTGGGAAAACCCTTAGCATGCTTAGGTATTTTCAGCAAAGATTCTGAAGCCTTATACCGTGGGGTTTGTTTCAGGAACTACTTTTCCCTGCTGTCTGCATACTCATTATTCCCCCTTTACCCATCCCTGTCTAACACACACCCAGACATCTGATAGTCATTCTCTCCCAGGATTGGTTTGAGGTGAAGTATTCCCCATTGCCCCGTATTTCAATAATAATCTCTAATACACTAATATAGGTAGTAAGGATTCAGAGGATACTTGATTTTATCCAGCAGCAAAAGAATAATATTCTAAAACTCCGATACCACTTTTCTGCTTTATTGGCTTTTCGGCTCTTTGTTCTCATTTTGTGACTTGGAGGATTCAGATAATTTTCATTTGCATTTTGAGTTATGGTGCTTATCTACAATAGTATTTGATTCTGTTGTTCTTTTCGAATAGTTCTCATGGTGGAGCTTTAGATGCCTTGGCAAGCAGCCTCTTTGGTACCCTTGCCTTTCTTTTCTACTTCAGCAGTAGCTTGGGTAAAAGAATTAAATTGGGCGAATGTGCTGTGGGATCTTGGTAACATTTTAGAAGCAGGACATGTTCACTTTCTCTCTTCCAATTATTGTTTCCTCTTGAGACAGGAACAATTTAGCATACTTGATTTTCAAATCCAATCTCACCCTCTGGAAGTTCTTGTGTTTTAACTGGAAGTGAGGTTTGGTTTCTGCTTCATTACCTGACATTACAAGAAGCAGCCTTAAAGGATAATATGTTCATAAATAATTAAGTCTGGCTGTAAGGACATTTGGCACTTCTTGTCTGTTTTCTGGGTACCGTCATTTGGCTCATGCAGGGTTCCCATAAAAGATGACAGAAGGTTAGAGAACAGGTGTGTCTGCCTGTAAAGGCCACTCAGGAGGGTGCATAATCCCCTAGTGGGAAATACATGCCATCTAGAGAAAGTCCCTGGGCCGCAGTGCCAAACATGTCACAGACCAACTTTAGGGCCTCTCTAAGCCATACCTGTCTCCTCACTTTTAAAATGAAGGCCACAGCAGCTTCTTTGATAGGTTGTGACCCACTGACTTATGACTGTTCATACCCTGGTACATGCACATGGTGAACACGTTTGTACTTACTAAATGCTAAGGATGAGAAAAATGCTGCATTATTCTCCGTATGCTAATATGGCTAGGAATGAATAATCTGGACTTCTTTTGTTCCCCATAACAGCAGTAGTCTAATTTCCCACATATTTCATTCTAGTTCTCAGCCTCTGCCCTTTTCCTTTTTTTTTTTTTTTTTTTTTGTCTCACTCTGTCACCCAGGCTGCAGTGCAGTGGTGCCATCTCAGTTCACTGCAACTTCCTCCTCCCCGCAGGTTCAAG